AGGAAATTTCGTCTTCACACTTCCACTACTTGCATAATGCATAACCATGCTTAGATCTCTTACGTACAAGTAAGTCTTCTCTTCCAAACCTCTCTCTAAGCTGGGCGATTGCTTTCGGATAATTCGATGCCGTTGCCAGAAAGCTCTCCACTACCCATGCGATTCTGGACTGAGGAACAACTGGCAGGGCCATTGCAAGGTACACAGGTTTTTTTTTTTTTTTTTTTTTTTTTTTGCTTGTGTAAAAATTTTTTGTGATGCCCTTATTGTTTCTGAGGATACATGAGGGAAAGGGAAACACTTCACACTAGATATTTAAAAAATACATATGTACAGGGAAGACTTGATGATAAACATTACTACAACTCATAAAGTTAAACTAGAATTTATTTACATTAGAATGAAAATAAAAGTAAAAGAATAGTTGTCAAAACATTTTTGTATATGTCTATCCTTACTGTTCTTCACTATTTTACTTCTTGTCTGACCACACCCTAATCTAGATGGCGCTTTTACATAATCTTAGTTACAGTTCCCACATACATATAAATTGAAATAACATTTTATGCTCATAATTTCATATTTTTTACTTTAAATAAGCTAGAAATTATAAAAGTATATTCTGTGGCATGTATAGATTCTTTCTAACATATCTAGTGTTCTCAGTTTCTAACATATCTAGTGTATATCTAGTGTTGATTGACCACTTGGGAATCCATGTGTGTATATATATATATATGTTTCAAAAGAATAAATTGAGTTTAATTAAAAAATTAAATTTAAATATTTAATTAAATATTCTTTGCACCAATACTTTTATACGTATTTGTTTAGAATTTAAATTTGTTTAAATTTATATATATATATATATATGTATGCATATACATGGTAACAATAAGATACATACTCCTGCTGCTGATTTCAGTAGTTTGCATATAAAATTAGTTGGGTCATTGTGCAGATTTCATGACAGGGTGCATTAAGCAATTTTTGCCGACCTCTATTCTGTAGCTGTATATTAGTAAAATTTGTTTCATTGACATTATATGGATTCATGAAATTTTAGTCTTATGAGAAAAGCCCATTTGCAAAAATATTTAATTTGAGATATCAAGCAATGTTTAAAAACCTTATTACTTCATTTTGTTTATATATAATATTTTATTGTTATTTGCAGAGGAACTGTAATACCTTATTCAGTTAATATAATTCTTTTCGCATATATTGTAATATACTTTATAATTTTTTTCTACAGCATTTTGTACGAGTAGTATAATTTGTAATTTCTTGCTAAAATTTTAATATATGGCATACATTTTTATGATTAATATTCTATACAGTTTTAAGTTACATATTATCTGTTTTAATTTTTTTTAAAAATAATTTAAAAGTGTAATAGTAAAACGTATGCTTGTCTGTTTCTATATACAGACACTGTTATATTTAAATTTTTAGTTGTTTTTCATTATTTATGAAATGTTAAAAGTATGAATGAATAAAGATTCTCACTTTATTTTTAAGAGAATAGATTCAGTAGAGTAGTATATGCAAATGTTTTCCATTTTAACGTAGCTTATTTGAAGAGAAAATCTAAAGCATTTTAAATTTTTGCTGGAGTTATATTTTTCATGCTTCTAGACCCAGGGTACTCAACCTGGTGCCCGAGGCGACATTGCATAGTGCCCGCCAAGCTTCGGTAATTTTTCTTTTTTCTTTCCCCCCCTTTTTTTTGCTGCAACAGTCTTTTTAGGGATTGCACATAGAGGGTGTTTGGCAGGGAAGGGGTTAGAAACTTGGTTGGCCTTGTCTTGGGTTTCAGAAACATCGAGGGTGATGGCGTGTTTTAACTTGATTCTTCTTATTGCTTCAGTCGGATTTAAAATGGCAATGCGAATGCGGGCCCGGCTACCCAATTTCTGAAAAAAGAGGGAGAGATAAATTCTGGAAATGTCTGTGAATGACATGTACATGACCTTGAACTCAGCTACTGAGAAGGTCGAAAAATTTTACTGAAAGGAGTAATGACCGAGTCTGACAGGCCTGAAGCGTGTCCTTGCGGGTTAATAGGATGATAAAGTTTTAAAATTCGGGGCACAATATTACAAGGCTCACCACACCAAAAATGGCTGAAAAAGAGTGACAAAAGTGGAGGGAACTGCAGGTCGACTGTATGACACAATTATATTAGGCATTTAACTAGTAGCAAAGGACAACTTTTGACCCGCGTTCTTTGCCAGTCCTCTTTGAAGCGTTTGGCAGTGACAGTGCTAGTGGTGCACCCAGTCTTGTTCGGCATCCTCATTCTGAGTTGGGGCTTAGCGATTTTTTTTTTTTTTTAACTGTTGCAGCTTGATGAGTGGTTCCAGCAAAAGGCAGAAGACATATAATTACAATTTCAGCTGGGAAAAAACATATTGCTTTGTTGATGAGAAAAGGAAGTGTGTGTGTTTGCTGTGTGGTACTTCTGTAGCATTGACTAAGAAACATAGTGTGGAACATCTTTTTTACACGAATCATGGAACATTTGCAATGCACTACCCGGAAGGTTTGGAAATTAGGAAGAAGAAAATACGTGAGCTGAAATTGAAGATTTCTGTGCAGCAATCAGTATTTGTTAGGCCAGTTTCAAAGTCCAAAAATGCTGCAAGAATGGCTTTAAAATTGCTCGATTGCTGGCGAAGAAGAAAAAACCATTTCAAGACAGTGAGTTGCTGAAGGAAGCATTTCTTGCAGATGCTGAAAGTCTCTTTTTGATGGATTCTCTAACAAGTGTGAAATCATCAATGCGACTCAGGACCTTCAATTATCAGATGACACTGTTTTAAGGAGAATAAGAAGCAATTGTTGATGACATGGAATCTCAACTGAAGAGAGATTTGAAAACATGTGAATGGTTTTCTCTCCAATTTGCTGAGTCCACGGATATTTCCGACACATTGCAGTTAGCTGTTATGATAAGAATGGTATTTAACGACTATTCTGTTAAAGAAGAATTAATAAAAATTCTGCCTTTGAAGATGAGAACGCGGGGAAGGGACATTTCAACATTTTTAAGATGCTTGCGGCATTGGCTTGCCGCTTAAAAAGCTAACAGCAATTACCACAGACAGAGCATCTGCCATGACAGGAAGAACCAACGGTTCTGTCGCTTTGTCCAAGAAAGACGAGTGTTTTCCAAACTTCATGCCTTATCACTGCATCATTCATCAAAAAGCGTTGTGCGCAAAGATATTTGAACATATATTTGAAGACATGTATTTGAACACGTCATGAATGTTGTCACATTGATTATCAGTTATATTCGTGCAGCTCCTTTGGAATACCAGCTTTTTAAAGCACTGCTGGAAGACTCTGAAGATAAAACAGTTGACCTCATCTTGCATGCAAAAGTCCGATGGCTCAGCAGAGGTAAAGTTGTATCAAGGTTTTTATTTCTAATTGAGCAGATAAAAGAGTTCACGCAATCTAACCCTGACAAATTCACTCAAATGAGATCGAAGTCCCTGGTTCATTTTTCAAACATGAAAAAAAAATGGCGAATGACGATAATTTTGGTCCTTGTGATTTTCCGGCCATCTGGAGACGCTTCTGGACATATTTTAAAAGCGATTTCAAGTTTTCAGTTGCCTGAAGCCAGTGGTGAGCTTTTTTGGCAACCCATTCACCATGAAGCAACTGAAGCCGCCACAGCAATTGCAAGAATTATTGCTGCAGAAATGGAAAACCTCGAGCGGGAAGTAGTCGATCTGAAGAATATTATCCTGCCAGCACATGCCACAGATGTAGACTTCTGGAAACTTGTTGAAAAGAACAGGTTTCCATTATTAAGAAGTGTTGCATATAAAATCAAATCTTGTTTTGGGTCTACCTACCTCTGCGAATATCTGTTTTCAACTATGAACACTATCAAGTCAAAGAACCGGAGCAGGCTCCATTGATTCGCATCTTGACAATTACTTGTGTGCGGGAACCTCAGTGTATGCACCTAATGTACATATGTTGGTGGATGAAATCCAGTGTCAAAAATTGCATTAAGTGCAAAACCATACACAGAAGAGATATGACTATATTGTAAGTAATAAAAGCTTTGTGTATTTTGTTTCTATCTCAATCCTTTTTTTTTCGATTCTTTGTATAAGGGCGTGTTTTTTTTTTTTCCTTACGGGCTAGCATTAACTAATAATGTGATAATATCACTAAGGGATGGCTTGAATATCACCCGGGATGGAAATGTTATGTGAAGCCCGCATTACATTTAAAGTGAAATAACATCAGTAAAGTATTATTCTATTGCAGGACTGCTAGTAAAAATTAAATTTTGTTTGAATTATGTTTTCTGTAATATAACATTTGAATAACATCAGTAAAGTGTTATTTTGTTGCAGGACAGCTAATAAAAATAAAATTTTGTTTGAATTATGCTTTTTTTCTAATATAATGTTTGAATTTTATCTTGTCTAAAATTTTCTTTTCTGTAACTGTGAGAACGATTATAACAATGTAATTTTTTTTGGGGGGGGGAGATCTTTCTCTCAAATGAAATCTTTAAAATAAAAGCCTATTTTAAGAAATCTGATAGTTGAAATATGTAATAAAAACTAACTTTCTCAAAAAATGAGACCTATTTTATTCTTGCTAAATAAACAGTACCACAAAGTTTCAGATTTTGTGCATGTGCAATAAAAAGTACAAAAGTAATATGAATAGCTTTTAGCTACATTGAATGGCATCCCCTTAAATATTTGTGATCCTTGAAATCAGTTCCAAGCTGGAAGAAAAAAATACATTAAAACAAGAATGCGTCTGTTAAATTTGATAAAAATGGAATAGCTGGTGCAATGTATATAAACTAGAAACTGCTTTCTGTTAAGCATATATAATGTTGTTATTTTCCATTACTTAAGTTAGTGTTCTACTTTAATAATTTATTATATTTTGTAATGTTGATGAATTATTTCATTTTAAGTATTGTATTTGCTATGAATTTATTCTAATTTTAGGACTTTATGCTCCTTCAAGTGGATCAGCAACCATTAATGGCTGGGATATTTTAACACAGACTAAAAAAGCTCGCAGAAGTTTAGGTGTATGTCCACAACATAATGTGTTGTATGACACACTTACAGTGGAAGAACATTTAAAAATATATGCTGGAGTAAGTTTAGTTTTATTTTGTTTATTAAATGTTTCACAGTTTATAGATGGAATTTTTCACGTAGTTCATAAGTGATTGGAAGTTAAAAAAAGTTGTGAATACATTAATTGTATTTTGTGAAATATCTTGTCTCAAAGAAGCATGGATTAGAAAATCCTTAAAACTTTTATTATTAAAAATCATTGATTTGATTCCTGATTTAGGATTTCTTATTTTTTTAATTGTTATATTTTGTGAATATTTCCTATCTTTTTTTAAAACTACTTCTTAATCTACTTTACTTATTTCCTAAAATGTATGTTTTGAATTGAATTCAGTAGTTAGTGATAGATTTGCAGCATTCCTGTTGTTGTCTAGAGTTTTCTAACACTTCATAAAATACATAACAGGTGTATTTAATTAGCCCCTTAACCACCAGCCTGTATTTGAAATGAGAAAGGTAAAAAGAAATCTTAATATAAAGTGTATAATTATTGATAACTCAAATAATGATTTCAGGTGTCGAATATAAAGTATATAATTATTGGTAACTGAAATAATGGTTTCAGATGCTGAAGAAGATTAATTGATAAAAAGACTTTTTTCCTTGCCCTTTTTTTCTTTTTGTTGTTGTTGCTGTTGTGTGTAATAATGTGTTTAGGAGTTTCTGCATAACTTTCTAAATGAATAAAGCAATAATAGGCGAAAGGAAAGCATTTTTGGCTATTCTAAAAATGGTTATATTCATTGCAGTTAGTGAGAAAGAGTGCAATACAATCATCTGCTGCCAACATGTAGTAGCTAATGTGGATTTTTGTTTTTATTATGTATCTTTTGTCAATAGTTACTTAAAATAGCTTTTGGAGTTCACCGTGCTTTCTAAAAATACACTAGTTTCTATTTAAAAGAAAACCAGAAAAATAGTAATTACTAAAAACTGATATGAAGTTTTGCAAATTTTCCCACAGAATAGGTGATACAAAAACAGGATTCAGGGAAAGTTCTGTGATTTCACAATTAGAATGTGAATGAAAATGACAAATTTGAATAATTGTTTGAAATCAAAAAAGGGTCTTCTTTGTGGAGTGTAGTTATGTAAACAGTCATATTACACTTGCAGTGATGATTAATGTTGTTGACGATGATGTATTTAAACTCAGTAGAGAGTGACACCAATTGTTCTTGCAAGGCTGTTACAAATGGATCAAGATTTTGAGGAGAAGGATTGAGAGCAGTGATATGTCCTCCTAAGGCATCTCAGACAACATCAATAAATTCAAACTCAAAGATTAATTTGGTCACTCCATGCACATTATTGTTTCCTGCTGAAGATATACCATTGCACAAGCTTCATGTGATGTAGAATTGTCATTCTAAACAAGAAAATTTTCTGTACTTGCATGTGAGCATATGTAAACATCAAAGATTTCACATCCATATATTTCATTACCGTCTTTTTCTGAAAATAAGACATCCTCCGAAAATAAGCCCTATTGTGATTTTCGGAACATTTGTAAATTAAGACATCCTCCGAAAATAAGCCCTATCGTGATTTTCGGAACTTTTTGTAAAATAAGACATTCCCCGAAAATAATCCCTAGTTAAAATAATGTAACAAAAAAAAAAAAAATCGTTAAAAAATGCTGTTGATTTATTAAGTAATAATATTTGTTTAGCTTCCTAATACTCGTATTTCAGAGAAATGTTTGAAACAAAATATTCCGAGAAATTAATTGTTTACATCTACAGTTCGTTTCAAATTAATTCTTGGAATTTATCTTAACCAGATGAATTTATCTTAACCAGAATTATCTTTATAGGAATTTATCTTAACCAGATTTATCTTAACCAGAATTTATCTTAACCGTTTGCCTCGAGAGAGATACGTTCACAGGAAAGGCATCGTCATCCGTTAGCGTCGGCAGACTCTCGTTGGGGTGAAATTTGGACTGAACCATAACCCCCGAGACACATACGATGCATCGACCTTTTTCCAACCCCCACAGAATGAGTCGAAAATCAAAAGGGGTGATTGATGGGTTACTTATCTTCTCAGCGGTGTCGCATTAGAATCACAGCAGGGCTATTTTAGGAAAGTAAAGGCTGGGGACACTTTCTTCGAATAGAATTTCTTCCCTTCAACATATGTTATTAGATCCACAACAGCTTTCTCCCTTTCAATTAATGAACGAAGGGCTTTGAATGCTATCTTTTCAATTCTTAACGATTAAATTCTTCTCTTTTGTTACAGGCCATCAAGAAAATAATAAAACAAAATTCAAGGACATTTCAAATACTAGCTAATGCCCTTATTTTTACTTTATATAAAGTTTTTTCTTGACAATTAAAAATTACATTTACATTGTAATAGATTGCAATAGATCTGGGGTTGGGTGCAGGAAGTGGAAGTGGGGTTGGGTGCAAAGGGAAAAATATATGCTCTAAGGACTACACCAGTCTTTGTGTTTTATGTTGCCCCTTAGGGGGTCGATATTCACCATCCTTCAGTGTGACAGGTATGCTGTTCAATCTGATTTGAACAGAACTTCTAAATAGGCTTTCACAGGTGGTGAAAGGGGGAAAGAAATATTCTGAGCCCAGTTTTAGATAAAAAAAAGTTTACCTTTGGATGCGAAAAATGGCACGAAATGTTTGCAATTTTCCGAACGGCAAACTGGTTAAAAATACAACATAAGGCAGCAGTCTACATTGAGCAACAGAGCAGGTATACAACGTTCATTTATTTCAGTCTTGTAAGTCTTGATTATTTCTTCATACGTAATTTTATTTAAAAATAAAGTGAATAATTTTTAACCCCAGTTAAAATGAGGACAAAACGAAAGAGCTATTCCGTCGAGTACAAAAAGGGAATCGTGGAAGACTCCAGGGGTGTAAATCTTGTAGCATTCTGTAAAGAGAAGATGCTGGATCTTCGTATGGTTCGTAAATGGCTTGCAAACTACGATTACCTGTGTCAACTGGTGGACCAAGGAAATGAGAAAAAAACACAGAGTTGGATCAGGTCGGCAGCCGTTATTTTCTGAGTTGGAAGATTGCATCTGCGAATGGATTGCAGGCAGGAGAGCAATGGCTTTGGTTGTGCGCAGGGCTGCTATTCAAAAATTTGCCCTTGAAACAGCAATTGAATTTGATATATCCACAGAAGAATTTAAAGCATCGTCACATTGGTTGGACAACTTCCTTAAACGATATGAACTGTCTCTAAGGAGATCAACAATATTGTTTAAGTTGGAAGACAATGAAGTTGTTAAGCGTGCACTTGTGTTTAAGCTTTTTGTTGATGGCATCGATTTTTCGAAATAACATCTCTGCAACGTGATTGCTATGGATGAGACCGCGATATTCCCAGGCCATGGAGCTCAAACGACAGTTCATCACAAAGCTTCTTCGTCAATTTACATTCCTTCTACCAGTTACGATAGTGCATGTGTTACCTGTATTTTGGCGATTCGTCTAGATGGCAAGAAAGTATCGCCATTTTTAATCACTAAAGGTAAAAAAGACCAGATTCAACGTGTTTCAGGAATTTATGTCATTGAAAGTGAAAAAGCCGGGTGCACCCAAGCAGTTATAAGAAAGTGGGTTTATTTTATGCTGCTACCACTGTTGAGGGGTCAGAATAGAGGTTTACTAGTTTGGGATTCAGCCAGTACTCACTGCACTAAAGACATGAAAAACTTTCTTGCTGAGAGGAAGATTGATCAAATAATGATTCCGGCAGGAATGACTGGTTACCTCCAGACACTTGACATTGCAATAAACAAGCTATTAAAGGATCATTTGCGGATGGAAATCAATGAATATATTGAAAACAGAATGGTGAGAAGTCATCTAGGTAATTTTGTAAAACCAAGCTTACAAGAAGTTGTGATTTGGGTAAAAAATTCATGGGACAAAATAACTGATAGTGATGTTTCCAATGCACTACGAACAGGCTACTTAGACAAGAAGTATTCATTTAACGATAGCTATATCGCAAGACATGAGAGATTCAGACCAATGATTCAACAGGAAATGAATTTGGAAGAAAATCGGAATATAATTCAGAATTTTATTTATGACGATGTTCCAGAAGAAGATGACATTACTGTAATTGAATAAATTTAAATTTCTGTATTCTGTGTAAAATAAATATTAAATAAAAATATGTAAATATACTTTTATTTTTGCCCTTCCCCGAAATTAAGCCCTAGTGTGTATTTTGGACCAAAAAAGAAAGTAAGACAGTGTCTTATTTTTGGAAAAAGACAGCAGTTACATTTCCATCTGGAAGTACATGGAAGTTTTTGCAGTAACCTAAAAAGATTCCACTCCAAACACAGACACTATTTTTGAAAGATTCTTAACCACGTTCTCAGTTCTAGACCACTTGTTTAATGGCAATGAATTTTGGATATGAATTAGTGAGTTCTAGGTGAAGCTCATGTTCAATTTTGGATAACTGTTTACATGTATCCCTTATGATGGACCAAAGCAAAGCAAGTTTGCAGTTTAAGAGAATTCTTAAAACACAATTTTTGATTAGATTTGATTTGAATAAATTGGGAATTCTTTTTTTTTTTAGGTCCAAAGGGATTTGAATCCCGAAGGACTATTAGTTTCGTTTTGGCATTTTGCGTCGGACTTATAAATGTCGGTTCACTTTTCAAACTGTTGCCACAAAATGTTAGAGTCCTGCATTATATTTCAAGAAATTAAATAATGAAAAATCTGCATAAATGTATGTATATTTCTCGTATTGTGATAAAACAACGGTACATAGAGTCATCGAATTTTGAATAACGTAATCCTCCAACGAATATAAGCATGTGGAAGACCAAATTTGAAATTTGAAATTTGTTTTATGATCGATTTCCTATTTTTTAAAACTTTGATGAATTTTTGATTAACAAACTCAAGGATTTCAAAGCGAGCAAATGGCAACGTTGTGCAGAAAAAACATTTTTATTTCCAGCGCGTGAGTCTCTGTATCGGAAATTCTAAAGATATGCTCGTTTTAAAACTATTTTGCGATATTGCTGTTGCACTGGATCTTATGGTTTAAGTGTGAGGAACACGATATTTAATAAAGAAAGGTAACACACAAAATGTTAAAAAACGCCCCTTTGAACATAATTTAAAATCTGAAACATTTCAGATTTTGTTTTATTATTATTTTTTTTTTTTGTTTGAACTTTAGTAAAAATCAAGGTGATTCAGAAATTTGTCGCTTCAGGCGTAATTTAGTGAAACAATTAATGGATGAAAGCATGATAAACAATGCAGAAAATCGAACTAAATTAACTAACCAATAATAAAGCTCAAAACATTAGAAGAATTTTAGACTGAAAACAAAATATTTGCAACTAAACAGCATGAAATCAGACAAGCAAAGCACAATATCAAATAAGAAAAATTAAAATGCGTAAAATGTAAATCAAACTTAAAAGATTGGAAAAACACTTATCGAAACTCATACAATCACAAAATGGCGAACATGCCTCGTTGGAAAAAAGGAAGCACTTCTGCAGTTAAAGAGCATGAAGTTTATTGTATGAATTACCCTGTATTTTGTGGATCATCTTTACAAATGCACAAACTGGAAATGGAAAAATTTAAGTTACATATATTGAATGTATTATTTAAATGTGATTTTCTTATTTTTGTTAATGCATTTTTTTTTTCCTCTTCTTCCCAGTTGAAAGGTGTAAAATGGAGTGATGTTTCTCGTGAAACATCTGAAATTTTAAGCATATTGAACCTTAATGAAAAGCGGAATGAATTGACAAAAAACATATCTGGTGGTATGAAAAGAAAACTTTGTTTAGGAATTGCTCTTATTGGTGACTCTAAAGTAAGTTATATTAGTTCATTTTTGCAGTGATATATATTGTTGAATGTTTAAGTCATATGGCTCGTATGTAGTCTTAGTTCACTATTTTCAGCTAAATTAGCTTTTCTTTTTATAACATTTAAGGAAAATATTGCCACATACAATATACCGCCTAATGTAGAAAAGTCTTAATTCACCATTTTCGGTCAAGATAGCTTTTTTTTTATAACTGTTAAGAAAAATATTGCCACATGCAATATACCGCCTAATGTAGAAAAGAAAACTTTGAATTTAACTGCTAACTTGGCAAGAGCAACATGCCAACTGGATAAGACAACATGATAAATTGATGACCAATATCCTGTATCTATAGAATGCTGATCATATTAATTAGGTACAAGAAAGTGTTTTCCCCTTTTTTTTGTTTCATTACAGTCCACCATTTAGTGTAGCTTAGCAAATATAATAACTATCTGATCCACAAAATTCACATTTATGTAAAAATTTGTTAGAAACACTACCATTCTCTAGTCAAATACATAATTCAGTGTCATGGTTGCTATTATGAAACAGTGTCATGATGTCTTTGAAATCGATCAGTATTTTTGAGAACATAATTAAGTAGTAAGAATATTGAACTTCATTAATAGATGCAGGGCGCAATGAATTGGAAGTTGATCTCTCAGCACTATCCTGAAAATATTAATAGAGCAAATGTTTTTATTTTATTTGGCTTATAATTCCTTACTGAATGTAGTATTTCATCTCGATGTACTCGGTCTTTGATATGATTTAAATCAAATTCCTCATCATTATAAATATCATGAATGCACATCAAATAGTTTTCTGGTTGCAATTTCCTAGTTTCAACTATGCGTAATGTATGCTTTATGCATGCGTGCATTAAAAGAAATGTTTAATAAAGTAAACAAATAAATATAAAGTTTTTTTTTTTTTTTTTTTTTTTTTGTAAATTTTGATACCCTTTAAATCATAATTGCTCTTTATTTCATAAATTACGGTTTAATATTTTTGATTTTATAATTTCTGTATGCCTTTACTAGATTTAAACTGATGATCTATAATCCGGAGAAACCGATAATCCGGAATCGCCGAAGTCCCGACGAGTCCGGATTAAAGACTTTTGACTGTATTATTAATTCAGTACCTCAGATAATTTTAAATCTACAGAAAGAGAATAAATCTTCCCAGAAAAAGTGTATTGTTATAAGAATGCTTTACTTATTCTTGACAGCATTAAGAGTCTGAAGATAATGCAGCTTTTTCCATTTTGTACTGCAATATTTTAATTTATATGATATGGCAAAAATTATTTTGACTCCATTTTTAGTTTTTAATTAAACAAAAATCAGTTTACTCCACTTATAATTTAGAGCACCATTAATTTGCTCTATTAATATTTTATTATTTATTATATTACTTGTTTTTCTTTTGCATGTTTAGTTTTAATTTAACTTATCTATCTTTCTATATATTCTAGATAGTCAGTGAAAGGATTTACTTAAATTAACGCAAGTTTTTTTTTTTTTTTTGTTTGGTGCGTGTGCATTAAAAAAAAATAGTTCCTGCGCTTTTATATAAACATAATTTAGTATTTTTTAAAATTAAAATATATGTAATGTATTTGTTAATTCTGTGCAGTGAAAAACATAGAAGTAATTTGCGAGTTAAATAATGATTGTTTAAAGATGCAAAACATAAATAGTTCATCTTGGAATATTAACACTAAGTAGAATAGGCTGGTTATTTGGGGTTTCTGAGGTTTCTTTTTATGCGAGACATTAATACTTGCTAATCTCTCATAGAAATCCTTTGCTATGTCATTTGACTCGTTAGACAGGTCACAGTTGAGTGTTTCACTATAACTAATCAGCCACCCATAAATTTTCTTTAACTTCATAATGTTCATAAAATAAACTTTAATAGTATTTATGTGTAATAATATGAGTATATTAATCTGTAATATACATCTATAATATGAGTATATGCATCAGATTTTTGTTAGAAATGTAATTCAAGTCACTTTTTGTGTTGAGCAGTTGACTTATAAATATGTAGAGGTAAATGCACACTTCAGTGAATGGAAAGAAAGATGCACATAATCATTTCACTGTTGAATCATCACTATCATTTCACTCATTTATAATAGACAATATTGGGTTATCCTAAAAGAGAATAAGTTGTAAAACATTGCTGCAGCACAGTAGTTACATTCATGTGATATAATTTGCATCTGAATTAGGTAAATAGCCCTCGTTCAATTTATAATTTGCATCTGAATTAGGTAAATAGCCCTTGTTCAATTTGCCAAAATCAAATAAACTAAATCAAACAGGGATTTGCAACTCTGATTTCAAGGTGTGAAATCTTGGCTATCATCAAATCTGGTGAATGCAAAAGACTTAGAACATTTGACTGATGAGTGTAAATATGGAAATTTCTGATCTCATTTTGGTTGAAAGAGTGAGACTATTGTTCTAGACTGTAATTGAGGTTAGCCTAGTCTTTTAAATCCAGTGATCTTTGTAAGATATCCATATTATGTCTTAACATTTTTCTTTTGTGTTACTTTACAATTTTAAGACAAGAATTAATCTAGAGTCATTTAAATAATTTCCTTTTGTAGAAGTCTTCAGTGATTAACTTTACTCAGTAGCATAGTAATTTCAGTTGATCTCTTGCATTGATGTTTTAACTAAACTGTTAGGGAAAAATATGTTGTTTTAGATGAGATTGTGCATGATCTTCACTTAGTTTTGCTATCAAATGCAATAAATAAGAGATTAGTTAATTAGTTAGTAAAATCTACCAGAAATTTTTAAATAAAATCCCTTTTACAGCAGCGAAGGCCTTAAAATGTGAGATGTACTTGCTACTCTTCCTGATGCTGTTTTTTTGATAATGAGATTTTAAAAGAATTTTAACAAAAGCCATTTCCGTGCATGTATAGTGGATCAAAAAAAGGAGGGACAGTTCTATTTTGTTGCTTGAAAAAATTCATGTTTTTCATGTCTCAAAAGTGTGACTTAGGATATGTATTAGATTTATATATAAAGCACTGTATGCAGCATATATATTTTACACAAAATCACACTTTTTCTGAAATTACATACTGCCCCCTGTGGTGTTGTTGGCCATGATCGTATAAAAGTAACGATACTAAGAGTATCAAATGCGAATTAATTCTGCGTAAATAGTTAAACTAAAATTTAGTGGTTAGTACATTGCATGATCTTTAATAATAAGAATAAAATGACTTACCCAATAAGGCATGCATGAGTCAGTAGCTCTCTATTAAATATATATTTATTAAATCACAAAACAAACTTTTCTTGATTAGCCTAAATTATATACGTTACAAAAACAAACAACATTCATGAATGCTTTTTAGCATGTCCTACTCGTTAGTCCTACGGGACTCTCACCGCGTTCATTTCTTAACTGTATACTGTAATTCCTAAATCTTAAAGCATCGATGACACACTACTTATCAGCATCTTGCAAGAAGCTTAATTATTAGGCGGTGCAATTATTCGCGAGAGAAGAGAGAAGATTTCTTGTAGATATGCTTGAATTTGTCGCACATGGTCTCACTTCGAAAAATCCAGTTATCAGGATTATACACGTAGAATCACAGCACAGGAACCATTTTACCTTGCAGCATAACCAGTAAAGTTTACCTGAATTCTTATTTGCTCATTTATGCAGCTTTCTTCGTACAAGAACATGTTTTCTCCTCCATTTTATGCAAAGGAATATCAGCTCGATTACATGATGTTTTTCAGTGGATGATGGCGAGAGCCCACACACTCGTTAACACGACGTCAGGCAGAAAGAGAAAGACAAAACCAGTCCTTCCAGTTTTTATCCAATGCGATGCACGTGGTAGGGCGCGATAACGATTCAAGAATCGATAATGCCACCGTGTTCACTGTGAGAATTCTGTGTTCTCCCCCCCCCCAATAATTCAATTCTATGCTTCAAATTATGCCCAGGTGCCAAGTTTTGTAAAAGTCACACAAGCAGTTTTTTTAAAATTAGCTATCAAAATTTTAGTCGTGTAATGTAAATTTAATTTAATACATATTTAATATTATTTTTTTAATGGAACTTTCTTGATTTCTTCTTCAATAATCTTAAACTTAAATTTAATCCAAATGAAATCCAGATATTTTTAAAAAATTCATTTTAAATTCATTTTTATAAATTTTTTGTAAAAAAAATTGAAATGTAATATTTAAAAATCAGAACATGAAGTAAATAATTTTCTAGACCTATTTCCAATAAAAAAATTAATTTTCTATTTAAAAATTTGAGAGATATATGTAAATTTAAACATTAAAAATATTTCACTTTAATTTCAAAGTTGGTGTAGGTATAGAGCAGAGATACCCAACTTGTAGCTTGCGAGCCACACGTGGCACACACGATTTTGGATGTAGCTTACAATGAACATCTGGTCCCTTCTCATTCTTGTGAAATGCCAAAAGGGTAGAGGAAAAATGAAAGCTGAATTATACCTTACAGTCAAAGGCACAGCAAACCAAATCCTCTGAAGATAGATCTTCTGCAGGAGGTTTGTATCCTACATGCTATTTTACACTAGACATTAAGCGACGACATTCTTTCAGTATTTCATGCATCATCACTGACATCACTGTCGGTTGCTTCAGATTGAACCGAATGCTGCATTTTCATTTGTTGATCGTTATGATTACCTTTGTTGTGCAATGTCTAGTTATTTTATTATGCCACTGTCAGTTTCATGCCATAACTTGCCTGAAACACATATTGATGAATACAGAACAAATTTTCGAAGTTATGCATGAAGCAGCTGATATGTCTATTTCTTATGGGTATAAAAAATATTCACTTTTTCTATACAAGTTAATCATTATTTTTAATAGATATTAATGATTATGTTGTTACCCTAATCATGTCATATGAGCTGGCGGGGAATGTACGTGTAATTATAAATTTTATGATGAACGAGAAGCAAA